AAATGACCGCAAAGTTGAGGTAAATGATGGATTTCTCAAAAATGAGAGCCACATTTTACCTTAATGGTGTATAGAAAAAGAGGTGAACGGTCAGGAATGATAAAGTTTATTTATGCCTCAGCAACTTCTGCTGCTACTGGTGCTGACTCACCACGTCTCAGAGGATGCCATGGCGGCGGCAGCAGAAGCAGCAACATCAAACTAACAGCCCTGTTAAATGAGCATAATATTGCTGGGTTTAGTGTATCGCGGACAATGTCAAAATTGCAAATAAGTCAGGAAAAGTGATTTATAAACCGATTTTTTTCAAGTGTCCTTTATTAGAAAGCGACAATGATTTTCTTGACGGGAAAATCTGAAAAAAATGCACGATTGCGACGTTAAGTTGGGTAAAGACGACTTATCCTTGAAAGCAGCAAATCAAAGGACTCAGAAAAAGGAGGGTGAGAAAACTCCCAAACTGCCACAGAAACCCTTCCAGTCCATTGGAAACATGATGACTAAAATTCCTGAAATCACCAAATTAAGCCAGCTGAAGAGAAATGTACCATGAATTCCCACGATAATTTGCACAAAAATTTACCAGGCGTAAATAGTTTGTCTTCGGAAGTGCAAATGAATGCATAAAATTCTGTTCGAATCAGCTGAAACTGTGAATCGAAAATTGCAGTCTTCGCAAAGATTGAAAGATTATGTAGACGTCAAGATGAATGACCTCTTGACTGATGCCAAGATTATGGATTCTGATGTAAGAAAGAGAGAGCATCAAATTCAACAGCCATCTATGCTGGAAATCATTCGATTTGCTAGGCATTACCGTTGGATTTTGAAAATAAAGAATATAATTTTGCATGCCTCCTTACTTCAATTATACTAGTCTGAAACAGTTGATTATATTAGCAAGAACGACTATCAAAAAGGACACCTTGAATTTCGTTGAGACTGCTTTTGTCTACCCAAGTCAAGAGGGTGGACAAAAATTTAAATAATCATTTCATTAGTACTATTATCATCACCATCATCTCCTCCTCCTATTTCGAACGCTTACACAAAATTAAAAAGATCGTTGAGAGCACGCACACACCAAATTGTGTCAAGACTAGCAAAACATTATTGTCCCGTGTTTATGGAGGAATGCATGGACATTATTCTTGATTCAAAACCCATGTTAACCGTTCTACTACAGAGAAACCAGCAGTTTAAAGCCTGTTAAGCGACTTCATGTTTAAGGTGGAACCCTTTACACTTTGGGCACACGAGAGATTGTCCACGCTTATTTGATTTTCATAGGAAGTCCTAAATGAGGAACAACTACGAACATATTAATTTTCTACTTCAAGGGAGTATTACAGAACTGCTAATAGTTAAGATGAAATGAAGACCCACCTCAATCCAAATCCCAAAACGAGACGAATCTTGACCTTGTATTGTACGACGATACCCAGAGCTTCTCGAGAAGAGTTGGTGGGCACGCTGAAAAATTAACCGAGATGTTTGAGAGTGACCTGAACAACTGAAGCGTATTCTTTCTTTGGAAGGATTTACTCAGATCCCTAGCCTAGAAATTAAGTTATAACATCAGTGTATTCAAAAAATAATTTTCGAGATTTCAGTTTGTTTACTTCAAACAAATCTCTGGCCAACAACTGACTTATGCCAAACAGCATAAACAATGAGTACAAATTGAGAGCTGAAATTCTTAACCATGACCATAGTACGTAAGGGATAACAATGAAAGTCATTTCAACGCCAATAGTAGGTGATAGCGAAGGTGATAGGAGAGTATTTTGTTAAAGCCTACAGGCAGTCAAGACAATGACCAACCGACAGGTACAACACAACCTCCGGCAGAAAGCATGGCGTGTCAAATGTTAATATCGAATCCCGCCGGAATGAACAGTGAGACCGTATTAGATCCATATGATTCATTCCATTCGCCTACTATTCAGCCACCACAATGGTGACATAAGAAATCTGCTCATGGGGCTTACGTGGTAATTCCCTAATGTCAGACTAGCAACGCGGGTGCAAAGGCTTCAAGGTCAAGTCAATAGAGGGCGAAACCAATAAATGGTATTGTTTGTTAAGAATGGCAACTTGATTCTCCCGATCAATCCCTCCGCTTTACGCAAAGATGACTACCAATGCGGAAGGCAGACATTTAACTAGGTTAACAGACATGCAGAACAAAAGTCGCGTCACGCATTTCGAACACATTTGAACCACCCAGCAGCTTATCAGCCCTTTCTTAGACGCGGAAACAACAGTTGCTTTTAGTTTAGGTCTCACCACCAAGATTTTAACCGCCCATCAATACTTGGAATGTCTATCAGTTGTGAGCGTTGGTGCTGCAAATCAAAGGATAGGAACTAACTAATAGTGGCCAAACACGAAAATGCTTTAATTCAACACCATGAATTTCAATTTCCACCCTACTACTCCGCATTGAACTTCAAGGCAGCCGTACAGAGACAGTCTCAAGGAGTCTTTCACTGATTTAAAAAAAACTTCTTGTGGTTTGCAAACTACGCAGTTAATTTAGACATTTTGCACCAATGGAACATTTCCGATCCACTTTGATGACAACTAAACTCTATTAAGCGCAAAAAAGGATTTGCATTCAGTAGTCCCTTCCATGGAAAAAAACGCGTTCAGCAATTCTACCTACTCCCGAAAGTTTTTCATTGCCAAAAGCTTTTGCCATAGAATCGAACTAAGGTATCCGAAGGTTTAGAAGCTGCCTGGAGGATGCCTTCAGAGAAAGAAGCAAGATAGGCCATTACAACTTCGAAAATCACAAGAGCCAAGTTCACAGCAAAAAATAATTCGATAATAGACCAAGGCAACCATAATTCATTGACTTCAATAGAACTCTAACTAGGATTTGATGAGCTAAACAGCCAAGCAGTGAAGTTCTTAGTAGTCACCCCCATGTCCTTTATTCCACACGAGGAGTGCTTCGAAAACCTCCCAGAGGCGACAATTCATGTTGTTATCTATAAAGCAGATTTAATTTTCGATTTGATACAATCTAGACTCAGCAGTTGTAAATGGAGCAAACACCGACGGCACTGTTTCTGCCGTTCTGCCAACTGAACCAGTAAAAATGGAGAGCTGAAAAGGGTTCCCGTATGCCCATTCGGAAAATAGACATGCAAGGTGAGCAAACGGTTTTGCGTGTTGCTTCGCAATATGTTGGTAGCCTGTAGACGACTGTCTAAAGTGGTTTATGCTTTGCCATCTAATTCTTTTCCAATGAGACAAAGATACGCTTCGATTTCTATCCTTATGAGAAGTTCTTTCCAAGCGTAGATATGATTATAGTCCACTCCTTCCTTATCTTGGTGTCATTTCTAAACCTCCAAACCTATTTTGCATATTGTTTGAGCGATGAACATAACCGAAGGAGTGCAGGTAAGCATTAATGGCCGCAGTTTTCAAAAGCCATAGAAGTGAATTACATTCATCAAGACTGACTAGCATATTATTAAGATGGCTTAAATTGGGACGGAAGTGATAGAAGGTACATCAGGGCTTACCGTATGAACAAGTTGACAAACCTCTGCGGCAGGTAATCCATACAAATAAGTAATCAAGTGCCCAACCAATTCACTTCCCCAACCTGTATGCTGCCAATTAGGTGGGCATTTCATCCGTCCCATAAAGTTGCCTTTGCCTTTTAACAAGCGTAAGTACTCTTCCCCTATCACTTCTAGCTGCCTTTTGCGTTTTTTGGGCAACCGCATTATGGAGAAGACGACCATTCTACGCTGGACAATGTTTTACCAATAAAGTAAGCAAATGCAGCTTGGCAGTATAAGCTGAATACCCACAGTTGGTGTTCGAAGGTTAAGAAATAAAACAGTCGTCTGATAGAGCAAAAAAAGGGAACAATTCTCATTGGCTCAATCAGTTCACCATCTAAAATGTCGGCTACTTAGTAAGAAAAATCTCAATACTCATAGGTGAAAATAAGTGATAGAATTCGCGTAACACTGGAAAATTACCAATTTATTACTCAGCAGTCGGAGTTGGCAAGAATTCCATTTGCTTTTTTGATTCAAGAAGTAGTCTATAACACAACGTGGTGACATGTAACAAAATTTTGTGAGATCCCAAAAAAGTTCCAGTTATTGAAAGGTGTAAAAAACAATTGCTGTAGATAAAAACATACGGCACTATGAGGAGAGTAAATGACCTTTCGACTCTAAAAGGCAAAATTGTTGTTGAAGAATGCTTCACTTAGTTTAAAATGCCAACTCCGACACAAAGCAACACTAAATAAATTATTACATATTTCTCAACTGTCCTAAATCTTAGAGAATGCCAATCTTCATCGCATCTGGATGTTCAAATCAAGCCCTAGTCGCGAAAACCAAAAGTGAGACTCAAGTAACAGCGACACAAAAAACATCAAAATCTAGCCTATCAATTGATGTGCCAAAGTAATGTAAACAGAGGCCTCAACAAGTCCCAATTTCTGGAGACACTTCTTTAGAATCAAAGCAGATTAAAAACAAGACAAGTGAGATGGTAAATTCTAAAAGGAGCGTATCAAAGTCGAAGGGAAGAAGAGGACCTCGATGCTTTTCGCCTCTATTTCATTAGCGATGTGAACTTTTTAAAATTACAAATTTAGAAGCTACATTCATCGATTGTTACAATAATACTTTCTTCCGATCACATTGACTTACCTTTGGCGCCATTATCACTTGCGGAAGGTAGAGAGAGAACCTGGACTTATTATCCAGGTATTTACAGTCCTTTAACATCTCAAATTAAGTAATGACTGCAGAACTACTAACAAAAAAAACTAAATGACGCCTCTCAATGCACTGACAAGATAAACTTCACATTATCGCAAATGATGGTGGAGGCAAGATCTTACTTTGAAATCGTTTACCCTCCAATCAAATATTAGCTGAGGCTAACACACACCTCGTGCTCAATTATTTAATGATACGGACTTCCTCGGATTAACAAGATGTACCGGCGATACACTATTTGGCAAATTCAACGCACATGGTTGAGGAGGCGAGATTGGTATCCTCATTTTTAAGATCGCCGTCCAGTGCCAAACCTGACTTGTCCCTATTGTCCACCAAAAGGGGGCAGAGTCGGTACACTTTGCACCAACCCGTTTGACTCGGCCATATAGGAAAGCCTTCCCTGTCCAAAGAAAGCAAAAGAAATAATAACAATTATTATTATCAGCGCTTTAACCGTATGCGTAAGGATATAAGCTGCTCATTTTGTAATGTCCCATCAAACAGCGCTGTAGCACTAGAGATCGTTTCCACTTTAAATTAATAAAAAGTGAAGACTTTTATTTTGCCTAATTATACCCTTGCCAGAGCTTGATCTCACAGTCCATCTTTCTAACCCCTCATCTTGTGCTTTCATAAAAATTTATCAATTCCTATGTCTTATTAAATTTTCAAGGGTGAAATTGACATCTCATTGCTACTACCTATCATGAAGCTAAAGAATTAAATTTCAAAGAACTCTATGAATTTCTCAAGTTACTATTATACGAAATTCAAAGGTGAATGATTTCATTAGTCTACTTTTGCATTCCAAGGTGATAGGTAATAGAATAGAAGACCAACTTAATAAGAAACCTTAATAGAGCGATCGGGTAGAAAAAAATCACAAAGCATGAAGACCCTGTATTTCGACGAGGCGAACTTTGAGACCACACGTCGCAGAAATTTCCACACTCCAATCATGAACGAGGTAGCTCTGCTAGAGGCAGCAAATGGGTACCCTGAACGGTCCTTTATTTATTTATTTTGGTGTCTAGAGATTATTACTGTCGATGATGGTGGGTCATCAAAAGGAAACCCCAGAGATGTCCAACATAAACGCCAAAATGCATTGTTTAAGTCTAAATCGAATAAAAAATGTGGTCAATCAAACAAACAAACCTCCTCCTCTATTGTACACATTGTAGAAAGTGCCATACATTCTAGATTGTTGGCTGACCGACGCATGACCGACAGGTGGTGGGAAATGGCCACTGGGTTTTTTGCACCAGTTAGTTCAACAAACGAGCACACAACCACCGGTCACCCTCAAGCAATCTAACATTCAAATAGTGCACCACACAGCTTACACCTGCCTTCCAGCTACACAATTCTTGATTTTCTGAGGACGTTCTGCCACTTTACAGGGTTTGCTGAAAAAGGGACAAACTTCGAACGAGTTAATTAAAGAGAACAGATTCCAAATTTTCGAAATCCGTTCCTTCTTCCGGATGAAAAAATACATGCTATATAAAACTTAAGCTAAATCGATAAAAAAATCCATCCAATTGGCTGAATAACAAAAAGCAAGGAGTTTGCCCGGGAATATGCAGGCGCTACTTCCAGATTCCTTATTTACTATTAAAGATGAAGAATTTGAAGTAAAAGAGAGGAAAAAACGCCAAAATTTACAAGGATAAAGATCTAATGGAAGACTCTTTTGCATAACTTCTTTTAATAGAAAAGTCGCACTTAGATCACAGCAGTCTCAAAACGGCCCCTTAACTTTTTCTTTTACTACTAGACAGTTTTTCGCAATGCAAGTGGAGTCTACATTTCGTGGTGACAGATGAGCAAACGCGAAGCAGAACCTTTCTAACCCATTTCCGCCAGCGCATTTGTCACTAACGGTCAAGCATACTTAATAAGTACCCTTTGTCAGTTTGTAATCAGTTTAAAAATAACAACTCGTGTGCAGGGCATCCTCTATCTAAGGCGAGAAATCGAATGTTTCTAGTTGTTAAGCAGCGGTAGAACTGGTCAGTTTGGTAATGCAAGTGTTGGTGTCACAACTGGACCATCAACAAAGCTTTCTCTGAGAATATAGAAGGAAACATTAGGCGAACCATCCTACCTAGCTTCAAAGAGTTGACACTAGTATAGCTGAGAGAGAACGAGGACAATGGTGTAGGCCGCAAAGGAAAAGAATTGGCGTTTAATGGGGAAGCCGAAAGAGGGCTAATGAAGGACAACGTGAATAACTTACTCGGAGTTAATCTCGGCGACGTTGCACTTGTAATGACTTGCGTTAGGAAGGCAGATGACCGTGTACTGCCGCACTGAAAAGGTCAAACACAAGAAAAAAGGAAAGTAAGAGACAACATTTGCATTTTCACATACGCAAAAGGGTTGGCTTATTGGTAGAAGTTCAAAATGCCGTTTGCTACTTTTGTTCCTTACATTCTTTACGAATTCAGCCCCAATCGTTCTCATGTGAAGGTAGTATCAGAAATTCACAACAGCAATAGTGCAGATCGTCAGAAATGGCGCAATTTTTATCCTTTCGAGTCAAAAGTAATGTACTATATTGAACCTTGATCATACCAATCACTCATGAGAGACAAAACGTGATTCTAAAGGACTGCTCCTCAAACTACCTGTGTGATGCAGGATTTGATGATTGGAAAATTCACACTCATTATGAGTTATATGAATACTATGCTGTAGGTAACGATGGAAAAAGAAAAATAAAAATGCCACAATGTCAAGAGATTAAAACGCAATTTCGCGTACTCTCCATCAGTGCGCAAAAGATGTACTACAGTCGGCAAAATGGAATGGGATAATTCGCACACCACAAAAGTAGCACAACATCAGCCTAAACAGAATTTAATCACATTAAAGATCAAAAGGAAAACGATCGCGAATTCTTAGGATATAACAGTCGCAGATTCAATTCAATTCAATACCTACGGCCATATTACAAATGAGTTGTCTATCCAGCTATTGAAGATAGTAGGGGACCTTCCTGAGCCAAATCGGAAAGAAAAACGTTCACCCTGTGATTGATTTCGACTCCTTCCAGCAAGTGTAGTGGTCATAAGGTGAATAATACTAGAACATGCACATCAAAGCAATCATGAACCATGCGCTGCTTCAGTGGGTCGAAATAAAGGCATGAACAAAGAGCTATGCAAGCTGGCTCAATGCAGGAGCCTTGATCAAGAAGTGTCACCGTTCAAATGTCAACACCTGACGCATTCATTGCCTGCGAATTGTTAATGCATCATATTGGTGTACGGATAAAAACAAAGCAGTAACATCTACCTTTGTTTGTGTTAATGCCTATTGTTGATAGATAACCCATAGTGAGGATAAGACTGGTTAACAATCACGCTAGAAATTTAAAAAGTAACTTACCTATCAACTTGATCCTTTTGACAGTTTTCGTTGAATTATTGTCCACAAGTACATTGACAACTATAGATTCGCCATGGAAGTATTTCTGGAAAGGTTAAGTTGCAAATAAGAGGCTTCGTAAAGGAATGTGCCCCATTGTATGCTCAGCGAATCGCTCACCCGAATGATGACAAGACTCTCCATTTATAATTTCGGCACTATCATTCCACCAACCCTTCTGCACACTAACAATAGGGCAGTCGCCATAGTCATGCCCAATCTCGATTTCGCTAACTTAATGGCGTGCCACGAATGTAGCAGATTGACGAAATCATGAAGACCAGTAGGTAAATGGTCATAGTACTCGATCCAAAGCACCGTGAATACAAGTTTCGAATTTCATACTACACGCAGGAAGGAAAACTACAGTTAAACGTAGCAAAACCTTCCTCAGCAAAGTGCATACGCTACTTTACGCAGACTCTTAACTCCGATCTTTGCATAAAGGCCACTACAATTGCAAGAAACTTGGATGACTTAAAAACTATCCTTACCACCTTAAACACGGTTAATAAGGTGTGCAGGAAAGTGCGGAAAACGAATGCCTACCATGACATTCTCAGTCCAAACATAACCTTCTCTCCTTAGAATTGATAGAATGCGCCACTATTAATGGGTCTAAAAGAATCATTGGGTGTATCATTTTCCAATCTCGATTACTGTACCAAAATTGCAGCATAAGAGCGACAACAGAGAGCACTTGGGGAAGTATGACTCTTCTGCACCCTAATAATAAGATCAACTCTAGACAATTGAGTCTAGAGTATTCCCAACGGTAGCTCGTGATACCTGCTTCAACTAATACTCCATTCTACGCGGAGACAAAGCGAACGGGTTTTGCGCTTCCAAAGATCAAGTCTTCAACTCAGCATTGACGCAAATGCTGCAAAATTAAAGCTGACGACAACAATCTAAGTGCGTAACATCGTATGTTCGATTAGGCCCTGAGACGATGAAAACACGGAGTTCATGCTTTAGTTCATGTAACAGTCAATGGTTATTAACCATATGAGTAGAGTTTTGTTAATCGAAGGAAATGAGACCAACCTGCTTGTCAAGAGAAGCTTCGACCCGCAGACTTCCGAGACTCATTAGAAAATCGCGAACCACCTCTGCTGTCGGCTGGGGACCTGCCTCATCGGGTGCAAAGGTCAACTTGCGCACAATCATGCGCACCGAGTTTCTACGTGGAAACAAAGAAAGGAATACCTAAATATTTCAACGTTTCCACTGCTTACTCAGCCATCACACTTAGCGCTATTGAGAGGCAACCTGTCAGATTGTAAAGAATACTGTGATATCTCGTTACGACAGACCTAACTGTTCCATTACCATCGTAGTATTTACCATGTCTCAGACAAGATCGGGACCCTGACTACTCTATATTTTATCTATTTGTGCTGGCGATTCTGAAACAGAACTCGTATTCAAATGCATTAGGGAAATCAACAAAATATGAGACTGACACTCGGCCAAAATACAGTTGCAGTGTCAGTAGATTCACCACGTAAACGACTCCTAAGAAATGTAGACACATCAAAAAAATTTTGCAGTAATTTTTTAATGTTTGACTAATTCTCAGGTTTTGCCGAAGAGCTCGGGATTTTAGGAGCGAAGATAGCAAACATTAACGTTTAATAATGAGGGTGGAGACGTCAGTCCGACATGAATGCGTAATGTGACGATGTACCTAATCCCAAATTTAGAACCCTCGGTTCAGAATCCAGCGAATTAACTCAAATTCAAGGATTCGACACTATCCTTGATTACATTCCAAGGCAGTCTCGTGCATAAGTTATTTACCCCACTACTTCATGGATTCACAACAGCTTCCATATTTAGCGATACCGTAAAATATTCAAACCACGATTTCATTCAAGAAACGTTTTTTAAACATTTCAAACAGCATTACCAGAAACCAGTAAACCTTTTTGGTATATAAGCCTAGTTGCTTCAAAGCTAAGTATTTTTATTAATTTTATAGCTAATCATTTATTTCCCGATAAAGCTTTATTGCTTATGGAGAAATATAGCATATACGCCACATAGTGGAAGACAAAACGATAATATGGTATAAATATGCCATAAATGTGATTAAATTACGGAGTACCGCACTTCTACTTGCTTCTTGTGCCATGAATAGAAGGATAGTTTACGGAGTCTTTGTGGAAGAAAAGCTTACTTGTAGTTTAATTGACAATTCATCTGTTTATCTCTGTTCCAAGATTCCTACGCCTTGTAGGATCCACGAGGATTAATTGGACGCTACCATTAATGTCAGTTCGGGACGTCGCGTCCCAGTGTCCCAAATCGTACAAAAATCACTTTGCTAGTACTGTTCTATGAAGAGTGAACAAATCTTAAGGAACCAGGAGAAAACCCGTTAAAGATAAGGGAAAGGCTATTAAAGCCAGATCGACATTTGGTCAGGTTACGCAGCATAACAAGACCATATTGGCTGACATGGAAACGAAATATGAGTAATCGCTGAATGATACTTGGGTGGCATTGAAGCATAGAGAAAGAACAAGATCTGACTGCAATTGTAGAAGGTCACTTGGTATCATGCATCGCTGTTAGGAGACCCAAGTAGTATCTACAAAATTTTGCAGCTACGATCTTGCCTAACCGCAACCAACGTTCAATAAAAATTGCTCTAGTCGGGGTAAAAAGGCAAAAGCAGGGAATTTTATGATATGTACCAATGCCAACTTCTGAAATTACCTTACTGTAAATCATGTTAGACGCATGAGTCAAGAAGTGCCAGAGATAATACCTAAATTATGACTGCGACTGTCCTGCTCGCGTTTACAAATGTTTGGCTTTTTTAAACTTGTCATACAAAAGTATGCCATTCAACATTGACATTAAAATAAGCATCAAATATTGCATGCTCAAGTGTTGGAGGGTTGGAGTTTTGCCTTTAACAAGAGCAAAATCTGCTGCGGTGTGGTTCTCAAGTTCTCTTCCATATACAAAATTACTATCTTTCTTCACACAATGGGACAACTCTAAAAAAATTTACCCGCTATCGTAACTTGAAGTTAACACCATGCGGAAATGAAACGTGACGGTTAACCTCGATGGCGTCTACTAAAGGGAACGTAAAATTATGGCATACGACCGCCCATTAAAAGCCAGTCATTTACGGGTGATTGTAAGCTTTCGAAGACCTCGGCCTCCACTATGTAAAGCAAACAATATGGTCTCTCATGATTCTGAGCGAGCATAAACGATAAGGCCAAGGTCCCTTCAACTTCATGGTATACTAAGAAAGAGTAAACAACGCTCTAGGCAAGAAATCCTATATGATGACATTGAAGCGGTGCCATCCATATTGCACTTTAAGAAGGCATGCTGCACTAATGCCTTTGCTAATCTCATTGTTTTTACTAAGTCAAAAGTATTTAGCCACTTTCCATAGCAAGGCATAATCACTGATTAGCAAACACCACGGTGTGTTGGAGTGGTCATTCACACTTACCTCCCTTTTTGACCTGCACGCGAATGTCCATAGTAGCATAAAGACACCATTCGCATCACACTAACTTCCAGCCGTGACAATTATGAAACCGAATTCTTTCCAAATGCTACAAAATTTTGCATATTCAATGCCGAGGAGAGTTCCTAACCTACATCTACAAGTTGCCATTATGATGGTACTAGACGAACAGCTAAAACTGTGCCAATCTTCTTCGATGAATGCTATGAGCCATCAAGCAAAAGATGATGAATAAACTAATGGAAACTACTATTTTTTACCTCATATTTGTCCAAGAGCTTGTGGTGAACGCAACGTTCGATATTATTACGATAAGTCAAAAAGGATACCAAAGAAGCGCGATTCTGCTGGCTCACACAACTTGCACGATTCAGAAGAAAATAGCCAAAAGCATGACTAACAATGCCACTACAAATGCTTCCATGTTCAGGTCTTCTGTCTCGAATACCGTTACCAAAATGGTATCACCCTTATCCTCCATCCGTGACCCAACCAATATGAGTGATTCGTAGCGGCGAGAGACAAAAAAGAACGTATCATGTATGCCAAGTTCCAAGGTCATGGGAAAAGAAGCACCACCAATGAAAGCAGACGTGCATAGGTTACCAATTATTAATGACAACCGAGACAAATTAGAACATCCATGCCAAGAGTTCCACATTCCGCAGGAGATGCGATAATCCAGGTATTTGGTGTTTGTTTAGACGTCCTGAGGAAATTACCTAGGAGGTACAATATGAGCTGCGACACGACTGCTCTGCCTTTTACAACAGGCAGGAGCGTATAAAACTGCGCTTTTGGTGTCATCAAGAACTAGTTAACCATTGATCATGCAACTCGTGAGAAAAAATACCAAATTTCGATAGAAGTAGAGCTTGTGATGCGAAAAAATTAATTAAAGTTATTTTCAAATCACCGACTTCATGAACAAAGACAAGTTAATATAGCCAAATACTTATGTACTCCATCCCACGTCTCGTTGAGCTAATGGCGCGGAAAAAGGGAGGGGAGGAGTAACAAATAGGCAAACCAATGGAGCAAACTACCATGAGAGCAACTAACGCCACCGCCGCCTCCAATAAAGAACACACAACAATAAAAAATTTCACCTTTTTTGCGCTCGGGAGTTGTCCTCATCCACCACGTAGACCTTCAATTCGTAGTCGACGCGGCAGGGCTGGAAGCAAAAGGAAAAAATTGAGCCACTTTGAAATCTACGCATTTTTGTCCATTATGAAGGAAAGGATGCATACATTTTGGTCCAAATCTTGCAGATTTGTGTGTGCATTAATCGAAAACTCAGAACCGCATATGGTGGTGGTGATGGTGGCCAGTTTGCGATTATTGACGTAGCAGAAAGCAGAGGCAATTCACACACGAATCTACAGACCAGAGGTCTCGGAAGCACAACGTGGGCAAATCAAATCAATGTTCTTATTGTAATTACGGATAACGGGAGAGGAGATAGAGCATGAGACACTCTATCACACCTTAAAAGGGAATAAACAGTCCTCCCTTTTTGCTTGCTTGTTTACCTGCTTAAAATAACGGATTACTGCACACTGGATTAAACACTGCGATAATGTAATTTTAGACAAGCTAAACATACCAAAAGGAGAGCTAACATATGCAGCAAATGGAAGACACAATTCACCAGATGGAACTAAGCCTTGGTTGCTGATGATGCTATTTCCGAGGCGAGTTAATAAGCTTGGAGGTCCCTTTTCTGCTAAATTTCAATGGCAGGATAAGGGACCACAACAAAAACGGAATTGCCGTTACTACTACATTACTGAGAAGTGATTACGATATTTTCACAGCTGGAGGAAACTAAAAGTCCCAATGTATTTGAGCATTCCAATCTTCGTTAATTTCCTGCTTTCTTTGCACACTTCGAACATTTTAACTCCTGTAAGCCAATCCGTGCAAAAGGCAGAACACATGGTCCAATGGCAATGAGTGTGCTAATTTACTCAGCAACAAAATTTCAACAAAGAACGAAATGGAAAGAATGCTAACAATGAGATTCTTCTGTGATACGCCTATAGTGACTTCAAAGATAGTATTGGTAAGGTTTCACAGTAAAGTCAAGCGAATCGATCAAATAACACCGAAGTATGTCGATGTGTTGAAAAACAAGTAACAGACAAATTGCTTGCTGTACTAACTCAAAAAGGTTTATAATGCACTTAGACACACAGAAGGCGAATTAGTTAATACTGGTTGAGAAATCGCCATGTCTCGTCTCACTCCGCATAATTTTGACAATAAACTGATGGTAAGTTGTACAGAATTTCAAATCTCAACCATACGTCGAGATGAAATGCGTTAAAAAATCGACAATGCAAGGATCCCATAAACAAAATTCTGAAGAGCTGATAAACCATGGAATGAGTTCCAAGTCAACTAACGAAGACTGAGAACAGACTTAAAACTCTAGTAATTTGTTCAATGCTGATTTGGTTACGCGGTGGCCCTTTAACCTCCCCCGCTTTCCAGTTTCAACTAAACCACGAAGACTGGTATAATAAACACTTTCTTTTACCACAGAAAACACGAAAATGTAATAAATTTAATAACCAAATACACAAACAACTTCGTTGTTTTGATACAAAATTACCAGTTTCTAATCTTACTGGATCTATTTAACTGTCAGAATCGTTAACATTAACCTAAGCCTACAAGTGTCAGAATACATTCGGCATCAATAGCGAAACCAAACTCTCGGTTCCACTTAATCCGAG